GAATTGGAACAAGAAGCTTGTATTATCTTATATCAACTTGAGATGCTTTCCTCCTTCATTCTTCGACATTATGATACACTTAATAATTCATATAGTGAGGAGGTAAAAATGTGTGATCCTGTTTACTTACAGTGGATATACCTAACTGAGAGATACATGAAAATATTGAGAGGGTATGTGAAGAATCCTTACCACCCTGAAGCATCTATTGTTCAAAAATATGTTGCTAAAGAAGCCTTAGAGTTTTTCTCTGACTACTTGTCAAATATAGAACCAATTGGGCTTCCTAAATCTCGTCAGGAGAGTATTTAATTAGATCAAGGCACACTTGGGGTATCAATAAAGAGCATGAATCATGATGAAGTGCAAGAAGTATTTTATATATATCTTAAATAATATTGATGAAGTTTGAAGTTATATAGATACACATAAAGAACTTCTAAGGGTAAAATGTAATTGATTGAGAATGACTGAACAAAAATTCTTGAAAGAGCACAATAAGACTTTTACAGATTGGTTCAAACAAAAGTCTTAAATGAAGATAATATTTTTGATATGATTAAATGGTTAGCAGAGGGTCTTAATGTGGATGTGATAAGCTAGAGTGCATATGATATTAATGGGAAACACCAGTGAACTCTGTGAGCTATATCTAGAGGATTTTAATAGACGCTTGGTCGTTCTTGGCAGTATTTACACTTTGGGACAAACCGTCCACCACAAGCAAATGTAACACAATCAAGTTAGAATGGTGGTAGAAGATGTAAAAGTAGCAGAAGCACTTGTCTTATTCCTTACTGATGAGGTTAAGACTATGTTTAAAGCGGTTGATACTTTTATCATGTGTCTTAAGAGACTTGTGAGTATAGTTCAAGCTAACGTATGTTTTATTAAATATTTCATGCATTTTATAAATATTTCTTTCTTATATTATTTTTTAATTAATATCTCTTGCCTTTTCAGCTTCCCTTACTAAATGATCTCCTGCCAAAACTTCCGCAACTCCCATCGCAACTACAACCACCACTACTAAAAAAATGGAATTTAGCGAGAGACGAATCCCTCGCTAAATGTCATTTTTTGTAGCTAAATTGCTTTTAGCTAGAAATTTTATCTCTCGCTAAATTCATAGCTGAAAAAAGGCTCGCTAAATGTAGCAAGGAATTATATTTTCCTCGCTAATTAATGAGGGATTTAGCGAGAGATTCAATCACTCGCTAAAATTAGCTAAGGACTAAATTTCTAGCTAATCCCTCTCTAATACTATTCAAAATTTGATAACTTTAGCGAGGAATTAGTCCCTTGCTAATCCCTCGCTAAATATACTTATATTTAAAATAACTATGCCACATCACCCGCCATGTGTGATGTCAACTTGTGACATGTCATCAACAACCTCATGCTTTGTCAACCACCATGTCACCTACCATCTCGCGCCTTATTACCCACCACATGTGTGACAACTTATGACATGTCATTATCCACCTTGCGCCATGTTACTTACTCTTTACCATATTATATATTCATCATGTTTATGCCAAAGCCAAGGTTTGAACCCTTAACCTCATACCTTCCAAGCTAATTCTCTTATTTGAGAGATGGATTGACATTCCTTTGCTATTTTCCTCGCTAATTCTCTTATTTTAGAGAGAGATTGATAGTCCCTTGCTAATTTCCTCACTAATTTTAAATCAAGCTATGAAATCAACATCCCTCGCTAATTTCCTTGCTAATTTACATTTTTTTTAGTAGTGCACCACAGTTAACTCCTCTCCAAAAAATAATTTTATTAGCCTACAATAAATCATTCCAAGAAAAATTTTTTGCAAAGGAAAATAGTGTTGTGGGTATGGAGAATCTAGTGATGATTAAACAAGATGATTTGAATCGGCTTTTCTTGAAAAGTCAGCTTGCCACATCAACAATTGAGCTATTTATGTTGTAAGTATGTTTTACTTAAATATAATTAACTTATCAATTTTGATCAACTAACATGATTGCATTATCGCAGGTACCTCCATCATGTGTGCATTACATCAAGCAAAGTTGATAATTTCAAATTTCTTTGCCCTCATCACATGATGAAGAAAGGGAATACTCTAGAAATAAGATCCCAATACCTCTAACAACGAATAAGTGAAGTCAAAAAAGATATTTTCATGACTCCATATGTACACTCGTAAGGACCAATTTATGATTGATAGTTTTTTGTTAAATGTGAATTTCTTCTAATAATTCATACTATTTTGTAGGGACCATTGGTAGCTGATTGTTCTTTCATTCAAGAGTAACACCATCCTCTTCTTATACTCCCTCTATTACAAACCAAACAAGGACAAAATGAAGATAATAGACTCATAAGTGTACTTGTACAAAAATTATTAATTTTTATGAATATATTAGGTATAAATGTTGATCATAAGGCAATGAAAACATATCAAATAATGGTCCTAAAAAAGCACGCACATGAACTAAAGGATTCTACGTGGATTGAGTCAAAGGTAAGTTAAACTAACACTTTATTAACTTATTCAATTGTCAATATTTATTGTTGATTCCCAATTACTTATATATTTTTATTTTTATATAGAGTCATAGGCAACCACAGAAGACTAGTTTGTGCAACATATATGCGATGAGGTACATGTTCAATATCATCACATTGGGAATGACTGAATTTACAAATGAAGTAAATATCTTTTTTTAAAAGTTAATTTTATTGTTATTTGAATTAGTTGGTTAATACTTTAATTGTAATTTTGTACTTTAATTTAGATGTTTGACATTGTGAATCCATTTTTCAAGTAAGAGGTTGACGACATTCTCACACATTGGGTACAATATTTTGTGGATAGTATGTGAGGTTTAGATAGTTTTTTAGGAAATTGTATAGGCCATTTAAGTTTTGTGTAATTTCTATAAAATTTTGCATTGAAATCTGAATTATTTATAACACTGGAACTGGCTGGCTGATGATAAATTGTATAGAATATTTTCATTTGTAATAATTGAGAAAATAACTAGAAACATAATAATTAAAAAAAAAACACTTTTAACCGCAGCTAAAGCAGTAACCACTGTTAAAAGTCTCCCTTTTTTTCAAAAAAAGAAATCAACAAGCAACTTTCAATAGCAAACAAAGAACCGCAGTTGAAAGTTTATTTTTAACAGCTGTTGTCCAATTGCTGTTAAAAATTACATACTTTTAACATCCCCTAAAACAATAGTGGTTGCAAAACCTCTATCAAAAATGTATTTTACCCACTATTAAAAGCCTATCCTATAATAATGGATGCATTGAAAAGTTATTTAAATCTAATATTTAAGAAATGTCAAGCCTAAATATTAGTTCTCAAAATTTCATTTGAGAAGTGAACAAATGCTCATTTAATTTTAAAATAAATGTAAAGATGAGATCCTTGGTTTTATATATGGTCATACTTCCTCCGTTAAAAAATATAAGGTATTTTTTAAAGGATTGAATGTTCAAAAATGTAAGACATTTTTAGTCTTTCGAGGTGTAATCATTATTTTTTTTTAAATACCTTTATTGATTAGTGACTTTATATTTATTATTGGGTATTTAATAAGGGTAAATATAAAAAATATGGTTAGTTTGAAAGTAGGTAATTATTTTATTGAGAGTAAGGTTCAATTAAAAATGTCTTATATTTTTTGACGAAAGGAGTTTTCTTTTGTACTAATTTTGAAATACTTATATATTTTTTGTTCCTGTAATTTCTACCGATTCCAAAATGAATGAATGCATCATGCATGAATTCGTTAGATTCCAATTTTCTTATTCTTTTGTCATAAAGATATACGATGAATATTTTATACTCTCTTCATATTAAAATCTAGGATATTGTTAACTAATTTACTGCTTTAAAAAAGTATTAGTTAAAAATAATTTTTTAAAAAAATTTGCATCTTTTTAATTATACTCTCATTAAATATCTTTATAAATACTTTAATAATGATAATTAAAATTTTAATACATTATTTTTTTAAAAAGAGTAATAAATAAAGTAAGAATATAATAAAAAAATTAATTATAAAAGTTACTCAATACTATATATTTTAAATTAATTAAGACTTTTAAAAGATGTATTATATTATTACGGTTTAGGGAGAAGTATTAATTGGCGTTAGTAAATAAGTACTGTTCAGATATCTAATGCTGGACAAAGAAAAGAAGATCAAAGTCCATCATAACTGAGATAAAAAGTCAACAAGTACTTGCTTGAAACTAGAATATGAATCTGTTATTTGTTATTGTTACTTTCAATATGAACTCCTCCGCTCCGTATATAAGCTTTTACATTTTTTTATTAAACTAACATTAGTTCAAAATATAAATAATTTATTATTAACTTGTAAAAAAGATTATCTTAATTTTTATATTTATTAATCTATATTTTTATGTCTGTAAATTTATAATTTTTTCTCACTTATAATAAATAATTGAAATAATGATAAAATATATATATATATATATATATTCATAAACTAAAAATTTTATTGATATGCGAATTATTCTTAAAAGTTATTCATATTTTGGACCGAAAACAGTATTAATTAATTAATTATTTTTCCCCGGACAGTGTAGATTCAACACCTCAATAAGTTGATATACTCTGTTTGATGTGGGATCCCATTTATAACTAAGTTGCTTTCAATATATTCAACGGAAATAAAACATATTTAAAACTTATAAATTACATATAAAAATTTAATAAGTCTTTAACTTTATTTTTATTAAATATATATACTTTAAGAATGTGAAATGGTACATTTATATTTAATGCAGGGAAAAGAAAAAACTTGTAAAAAAAAATAATAATGGCATGCTTCATAATTTTTTTTTTAAAAAATCATTCTCTCTCTGTTTCATAAGCGAGACCAAAATAAGTGTATATAGCTAGGATTTTGGAATATTCCTTCTCAAAACATGATGAGACAATGTTATAAAAGAAAAGCATGATGAGAAAAATTCTTGCTTTTAATTCACGATCATTAATTAATTAATATATGTAACACTTTATTGCTGTGAAGACATAGTTAGCTTCATCCAGCAAATGACTTGATTAGTAGTACAACAAATTAATGAACAAATTAACGATCAACATGGCAAGGTAACTCCTGTATCATATATCACTTGGTGTTACCCTTAATAATTATTAATTACCAACAAATTAACACACTTTAATTTTCTGATGATGAATGAATTAATATCTATATGCTATGCCACAGCACCAGAGCTTTTCACTTCAGCCATTGCTCGTTTCGCATTTGCACCTTTTGCTTCGCATAGCTTGGGAAGAAATAAACCTACACACACATATATAATCAAACTCATGATCTCAAACCACATCCAAAAACAGAACCAAAGAAATGAACAAAAGAGAGAAGCATGTGTATTTAATTAATTATATATATATATATATGGCTCCATCTTTAGAGATGAGATTTGAGTTGTTTAGAACATCCGGATCTAATCTAAGTAGTCCACATTTAATGCTTTTAATTTGTAACTTTTTTAAAACAAAATCATTGTTTTGAGATGTGTCAATTAAGACATTATATTCATTTTTACTGTATTAACCAAGATGAAAAAAGCATAAACTTATTGAAACAGATTAACCAATGCTCATAACCAATTTGGACAATTCAAATTTAATTTATTAGATGATCCAAATTTCATATTAAAATGCTTTATAATTTTTATAAATTGCGGTCTAGATTTACTTCAGATGATCTAAATTTAATATTAAAAAATTTTACAATTTTTATAAATTTTAATTTTGTTAGATACAGTATAAAAAATAAAGATAATATCCTAAAAGGTTAAAGGGCATTTTTGCTCTTCAATCATTAGCTATGGAACATCCAATATCTTAAACTTTTATATAATGTAATTTTGCCCATCAATATTTGAAAATAATTCATTGGGCATTTTACCGTTAAAAAATTTAACTTTAATTACTAGTTAAAATGACCTATAAAAAAATTAAAAATTAAAAGTTTCAAATCTGATCAGTCCATATTATTAAATCTAAACAACCCAGATCTCATAAAAAATCATCACCCGGGCAAGCACCATAGACTACGTACCTTCAGCCGCCGCGAGTTTGAAGTACAGATCAACAACATTAGGGCAAGATTGGTAACAAGGAGGGGAGCAGAGCTTGTTGGTGAAGTGAGAATCAAGAAGAGAATCTGAGGAGATTCCGAGGGACATTCTGTCCAACCCACAAGCATTGGTGCATTGCTCTGTCTCTATGTGATCCTTAAGTTTGTCTGCTTCGATCTCCGATGTTCTGCAAACATATGCCTCCTCGCCGCTCCTCTTCACGTGCTTCTCCAAAACGCACCGTTTTCCCGCTGATGACACCGCGAATGAGCACTTGTCTTGGCCTAGTCCCTCACATTCTATCCCTCCTGTGTTATTATTAATCCATTATCACTTAGAGATGTTTCTCTATGATTATCTATGTTGAATTTGGGAAGTGAGTTATATTTTTTATGCATACACACACACACACATAATTTGTGAATTTTTGGGGGAAAATTGCATGAGGAATAAAAGGGTAAGGTATATGGTGGGAATGATCGAGTCTTGAAGGTTCGCTATGTTGTAGATCTGCAATCGAACTTCAAGAGTTATTAATGCAGATTCCTAAACATATTTGGGAGAATAATAATTGGGTCTTAGAACATTGAATTAATGGCAGTTAAATTCTTAATAAATTTTTTAAAAAATAAGTTGAAAATATCAATCTAAGGCATAATTACAAATTTTAAAGTTTTAATTGTAAATAAGTATTAAAGTATTAAAAATAACTCTCAAATCAAAATAAATTTTTTTTCGTAATTGGTTGAATTGATATTTATAATTTATTTATTATAAAAATTTTGTCAAGGACTTACTTGTTATTAATTTAATTTTTTGAGGATCAAACTATTATTCTTCCAAAAATATCTTGAAACTAGATAAATCCGTAATGAGTTTTATCAATTGTCATTCAAATTTCTCAGTCCCTTTTTTTGTACAACTTTCCCTGTTTTTTAATATTTTATGTCGATATTGATGATTTCAAAGCCCTGTGATCGAGTAGTGTGTATGTGTGTAGATAGATATAAGAGAAAACGATAGTAAAACCTCAAAGGAGAGAATTAAGAACAGCTAGATTATGATAAAATTTTATGAAAAATTATGAGTTCCAAATAGAAATTTCAATCACAAACTAAAAATTACATTTAAAATTTAAATATTTTATTTGTAATTAAAATTCTTCAATTTATAAGTATTTGAATCGACATTTGTAGTCTTTTTTTAAAAAAAAGTTTATCAAAAATTTAAATGTCATTAATTAATTCTCTCTTTTTGGGTTATTCTCTTGCATACTCCGCGTGTGAGGTCTTTTGCGGTGCTCAGGAAACAATAAAGAGGAACAAACGCATGTAAAGGTAGAGGAAACGCTTTTGGCAGTTTAACTACAAATTGCAACAAACTAAAAATTCTTGGATTGCGAATGTTTCTTTAATATATAAAAGCAAGCTTTAATGTGTTCAAGGCTGTGCTTTTGTGTGCACGCGCGTGCGCGCGCAGTCTTTAGGTAAATTTGGAATATATTAGTTGTGATACACAAGAGATGAAATTAAGGTGGCTTTTTCAGAATTTAAGAAGTGCTGTTATTCCCTCTAATTCTATTTATAAATTATTTTTAATATATTTTATTGGAATCAAGAAAAATATTAAAATTTATTAATTTTGTCTTAAAATTTGTTAAGTTTCCATCTCTACTCCCTAATAAAAACAAAATAATTATTTTTAATAATTTTTTATGACATTTAATAATGGCAAAAAGGAAAAAATGGACATAGAAAATATTAAAGTGTCCTATAAATATGACCAAAAATAATTTTCTCTCTTTGCCTTATAAATAAGATTAGGGGAGTAATACTTGAGGGAGTGATAGAAATTAAAGATTTAGGACTTACCAAGAGTGATCTGCATGGAGAGAGATAATAGTGGAAGAACAAATGTCACAAAACCCCTCAAGCTAATCTTCAATGCCATGGCAGGATCAATTAAGTTAGCTATAAGGGTTTTGGAAAGTTATTATGTTGGTGGAAACTCTATTTCTGGAAGAAGGTATGAGGTGGCTTGGCCAGCAATATGTAAGTGCATTTATAGAGGTTTCTCCAAGGGCATTTTGGGGTTTTGCTTGTATACTTTGTAGAAGAGATAAAATTGAGGGGAAATTTATAAAGTGGACTTTTCTACCATGTGAATCATTAATTAATTAGTAGGAGACGCATTTCTCAAGCAAGCTGTGTTAGACTGTGTTATTCTGACTTTAGGAGTATTTATCATTTAACATAGCTGAATGTTATGATGAGTGCCAAGAAGTTAGATGAAATTTGAAGTTTGGACTAATTAATGGTCGGTAATGGAAACGGTTTCAAAAATCCATGGAACACAGTTTTTGTTATTCTCATGCATTATAGGAAAATTGATCAATAATCATCAGCAGTATCAATTTACGGAAATATAATCCTTCCAGTCTAAAATATAAATAACTTTTAACAACAACAATAACAATCTGTATACAAATAAAATCTTTATTCCTATGAAAATATACATTATTTTTTTTCCTTTGTTTCAATATGTGATGAGTGTGAGAATGTCATAAATTCACATACACATGAATCTAAATTAATAAAGACAAGGAGGAAAATGAAAAAAAAAAAAGAAAAGAAATCTATAAGTATTAAGTTGCTTCTATTTTAAACTAAGATTAGGTTGGAGAAAATGTTTATATTTTAAATTAGAAGGAGTATAGCATATTCATAGCTACATTTGCACTACTAGAGACTTGAGCCTTAAATCTATTACTCCCGGACATCTCAATTTATAAGTAAGATACTTTTAAACAAAATCACATATGCTAATATAGCTTATTAAATTTACTTTTTAATCTTTGTTTTTCAAAGCAAAATTTTAAATTTTAAAAAATATATTTTATTTAATATTTCACTTGTGAAAGAATATTAAAGAAAGAATAATGGAAAGGATAATATTAAAAAAGTATTATTAATAAAATTTTATTTTTGTCAAAGTATTTTATATTTTAAAATGCGTTAAATCTTTTTTAAAAATAGGCTAAAGCATATATTTAATCCCTTAACTTTGCACAATATTTTATTTTAATTCCTTAATTTTATAAAGTATCTTTTTAGTCCTTTAATTATAACATTGTTAGTAATTTTTTACATTAAAATTTTAAATATTTACAAAATATTATCAAATACTGACATATTAAATTTATTTTTTTAAATAATAATAATTGATATAAAAATTAATTATTTAAAATTAAAAATGTTAGGATTAAATAATTAAAAAGATATTTTACAAAATTCAAGAACTAAATTAAAATTATATTTAAAGTTAAAGAATAAAAAATATATTTTAATTTTAAAAATATTTTATAAATTGAGACGGAGAAGAGTACAGTAATTTCATTGAGAATTAGTTATAATAATTAAATTTGTAATCAATCGCATCTAAATCAGCGTCAATTTTGTTTGGAGTCAAGTAATAATGAATCAATCATCGTATCCCCCGGAACTTGCGGAGCTTAATTAGATGTAGGGTGAGGCGGCTGAGTTAATCAGTTATATCAGGGACACACACTAACAGGCATGTTCTATGTGCTCTGTACAAACTTGACCTCTCAGCTTCATTTTCATCAGTCAAACCTGGGGGTCTCACCAACATCAATTATTTTTATATTTTTGGAAAATCTGATATAGATTCGGACATATTTATTCTCTATCAAACTTGAGTGTTTTGAATGAATGATTGTATAGAATTTGGACGTATATATGAATTTATGTAATTACGTGACAAAGGGGCTTGAATGAGTTGAAAAGGCATTTTAATAGCCAAAATTAAATATGCTTGTGATTTTGTTGTTATATCTGTTTCATCACGCAAAAAATATCCTATTAAATATAGTCAAGATCTTAAAATTTTGTAATAAAATAAGAATTTGATTTGGGATACTTGGGTGTAAGAGAATAATATAAAATAGTCATTTCACACTTGGGTGGCAAATTTTCAAAAGGAATATCAAATTGAAGTAAAACTTATGTCATTAATTAGATTATACAATAAGCTTCATATGAGCACTTGAATCACTACAATCAAATATCGTATGTGAAAATAACACACAACGAATGGCCGTATCAAATGAATTGTCATCATAGCAAAAACTATTATGTGGGACACAACACATGGTGTATGCACCATGGTATATGGCACAAAATGTGAATTTGTAGCTTTTTTTGTTTTTTTGAATTACATAGGCAAGCCAAGGCTTAATAAAACAAACTAGAAATTACAAACTAGAGATCGTTGCAACATCAGCAAGACATTCTACTACTAAGTAATCCTCTGATCTTCAAGAAACCTTTCCAAACAACCAATAGGGACATTCGGGATCAAAAACAAATTGAAGCTATCTTGATAACTCCCTTGGCCATAAAATCCGCACACATTATGTGTTCCTTGCAAGTATAACGTAAAGAAACATCCCAACCTTCATAAAGCATATCACAGATCTCCAATAATAGTGGCCTTAATGGATGTTCTAACGAAGTTTCCCGACTAGGTAAATTGATAGCTTGTAGAGAATCAGCAAAGATCATGACCTTTGGCAAATTAAGTTGCTTGGAAATCAACAAACCCACTTTAATTGCCCTCAATTCAGTTTTAATAAGAGAACAGAAATTCAAGTTTTGTTGAAAACCCATTATCCAATCTCCCCTGTGGTTTCTTAAAACTCTTCCACAAGCTGCACGATAGTTACATTGGACTGAACCATCAACATCAACATGAATACAATTTGGTTCAGGTGCTGTCCAGGATTGCTTTAAAGGATGGGTACATTGAAAGATTTGATGCTTGAGTTCATTGTTAACAACTGACTCCATAAGAAGAAATTTACACCTGTGGATGATATCTATCGTGTTAAAGGTGGATTCTTCAAACACAAATTTATAGCATAACGTCCAAAGAATCCAGCAAACAATTGCAAACACTCTCATCCAAGTCCACATTTTAAACTCATCCTTAGCTGAGAGGTGAGTGGAGTTCTACTATAGCCATATCTGTAAATTTGCCATCAAAGAAACTAGAGAAAGTGTTAGTATTCAAAATTTTTCCCTACACCTCTTTGGCTCTTTCACAATATTTCAAAATATGTAAAATGGATTCCTCACAATTACACTCAAAGGGACAAGAGCTGGTGTTTGTCAACCCTCTTTTAACTCTGAGCAAATTTGTCATCAGTCTCTCATGGGAAACTTGCCACATGAAGAACTTGACTTTCTCCTAGACTTGCATAGTCTACACCATATCAAGGGCTCCCTCCCATCTCCATGTCTAAAGAGGGACTCATAAGCACTCTTAACTATAAACTGTCTGTTCACTGAGTGGCATCAGTGTATGACATCATCTTCATTTGAGATAGATGGTTGGGTCTTTAACAGTAGGGAGATCACCCAATATGGTAAAGTTTCCCTCCATCCTTGTACATTCCATTGACCACTAGATAAAACAAAATCTCGAACGCTATCTCGAGGATTTATTAAACCAAGCTGCATAACATAATCGATAAGTGGCTTGTTCAAAGGACTCCAGTGATCCTACCAGAGCTTCATTGATCGGCCATTATTAACCTTTTTGCCAAGCCTATCTTCAAAGGTATCCCAAACATCAAAGGTATCCCAAACATCAAAAATGGACCACCACGTGAGAGAAGCATTTCTAAATTTTCTAACCCCAGGGATAAGAGATTTTCTACAGTTATATTTTGCTTTCAAACATTTAATCCATAGAGCTTTAGGCCTTGTTGTCATACCCTAGCAAAGTTTCATTATGAACACCACATTATGTTGCCTTAAATTTTTAATTCCAAGACCACCCTCTTTCTTAGACCTTGTGACTTGCTCCTAAGCAACAAGATGCATCTTCTTGATTTTGTCATCTTGACTCCATAAGAAACTTCTACTAAGCTTTTCCAGCTCTCGAATAGTCCCCTTAGGTAGCAAAGTTGATTGCATGTGATAACTAGGAAGCTCTGAAAGGACTGCCTTAATGAGAACAGTTCGACCAGCTATGTTCAAGAACTTGCTCTTCCAAGGTGAAAGGTGCTATCTTTTCTTCTAGATAATTAAGCTAAAAATTGAGTTCGTGACCTGTGAATGTATAAGAGGGATCCCTAGATACTTCCCTAAGTTATCTATAACTCCAATGCCTAAAGTTTGACTAAGCTCAAGTTTTCGATTAATGTGAATGTTTCTCGAGCAAAACATTTTTGATTTATCCATGTTAATTTTATGACCTGAGACATCACAAAACTTTTGCATGATTCTCTTGACTACCCCCATTTGTTGTGTCAAAGCCTCAGTAAAGAGTACAAGATCATCAGCAAAGAAAAGGTGAGATATGGATGGGCCTTGTGAGTTGAATCTAAATGGCTTCCATCTAAATGCATCGCATTCTTCTTTAATATGTTGCCTAAGTCGTTCCATGCATAATACAAAAATATATGGACTAAGTAGGTCACCCTGTTGAATACCTCTAGAAGGATGAAATTTTGGGCCATCCTCTCCATTCCAAAACATGCTCATTGAAGCTGTAGTAATGCATGCCGTGATCAGATTAACAAAGTGTTAACCCAAACTGATTTGTACCAACATATCCTAGATGAAACTCCAATCCAAATGATCATAAGCTTTCTCCATGTCAACTTTGATTGCCACAAACCCCTTCTTTCATTTTCTTAATCTCATCAAACGGATAATCTCCTATGCAATAATGATATTACCACAGTTAGTTTTGCCTAAAATAAAGCTACATTGTTCCTAGGCTACCAGACCATTTATCACAACCTTCAACCAATTGGCTAGAAGTTTCATAATGATTTTGAAACTCACATTGCAAAGAGAGATGGGTCGAAACTCCTTTAAAGATGTAGGATGCTTTTGGTAAAAGAACATTATTAGTTTGATTCACTTCCTTAATCACCTCCGGCTTTGAGAAGAATTCCTGAACTAGAGCAAAGATTTTATGG